GCTCTCCTTAAGACGACATAGCCTCGTATATTACCCACAGTTCATTGTAAAACCCCGCATACTACTAGACTTATAGAAATTATAGTAAAATTTTTCTTTTTAATTTTCGAAAACTCTAACTTTATTTTTCGAAAACACTTTATTATGTATCTCGTTGGATGCTACTTAACTTAGTCACTTACTTGTCTCTAACGTAACTTCGACAAAAGTACATTCAACCAAATCAAATCCACTCCGGAATAAGGTACCATGAAGGTACTGGAATTAAACATGGATAGTCATAAGTCTCATAATCTCAAACATGTCTGATAAAGTGAAAGTTAATGACCTAGGTCGAATATGTGTTCCACACACTTAGTTTATAAAACATTTTCATAATTCATAATTGTTTTTAAAATAAGCTTTAAACCACCACCACCACCATACTCGCTTACGAGCCACGCTGGACTCCATCACCTACAGAAAAGAAAGTGGAGGCGCTAGCAAAACCACTATTCTTCTCAGAAAATGGCACTGAATAAACATCATCTATAATAACATATCATGAAATAAACATATACGTAAATAAACTAAACTGATGATGCTAACTCCCGGTTTCTGACTGGTAATCGTGAACACCCTTATGGGACCCTGATGAAGAGACATTAAGGCACTCTGGGCTCTCAATAGGACCTAGTGGGACCCTGATGAAGAGACATTAAGGCACTCGGGGCCCCCATTAGACGATACTAACACATACATACATACTTCTGACATGATAAGAGATTAAAGACAATGTAAGACCAGTACAGGGTCCCCATCTGATATGCTGAAATGGAAGTGTTGAATGGATCGTAACTGTAGGAGGCCCAACTCTCCACAAGCTACAAAATTTAAGCAAAATATTTTTAAGTCTTATGCTTAACTTAAAAATTTGGTTCTAATAATACTGATCTTATTATGTTGTTCGCTAGCTCAGTTTTAAAAATATTTAAATCCCATTTTCTTGTTTAATTATAACGGCTTGTCGAAATAAAGAAATTAATGAGTTAAGTTAAACAATTTCTATTTGGGGCAGTCTAAGGTTCTCGGAAAATTTTCTAAGTCCGGAACTATTTTTTCTGGCTTAAACTTGGACTAACTCGACTTGAAAAAATGCTTAAGTTTTAGCTTTCTCGGACCGAAACTCGAACCAGAATTTCTTGAACCATTTGCCCTTGCCCGGACCAGTTTAGTTGAACCGACGGCTCACTCATGAACCGACCGGTGGCTTGGTGCAGCCCGACTCGGTCGTGCAGGGTCAGGCTGGCGCGGCTGCTTGTAGCACCCGCACTGACTTGTTGGGCGGGATCTCACCAGCGCACGGGGTTCTGGGTGGGCGGGCGCGCGGTCGAAACAGAAAGGACTCGTGTACGAGTAGTAGCAGTTCGTCTGGAGGTGTCGTAGGCCGCTGGTGCACGGGCGCGCTTGGCTGCGGCTGGCAAGGCGTTGGGGCGAACGCAGACGGGGAGCAAGGGTGCACAGACACGTTGACTGGCTGGCTGGGCGCACGGGCGCGTGCATGGCGTAAGGGCACGTGACAGGGACGATCCTGGTGCACGGGCATGCATTCGGTGATGGTCTGCCACGGCACGACTCCAGGCAGGACGTGGCGTGCCTCGGCGCGCATGACTATGCGCCTGCGATGCTGCTGAGACTCGTCAGCGCTGCTGGGCACGGCTGCGGCCTTGGCCAGCGGCTTCCCGACTGATCAGTGACTTTCCCAGCAACCCAGGGTTTATCATGATCCTTATGATTTTTAGGGTCCATTTAGGCTATTATGGCTCATGAGATTATGCTTGCATTTAAAATTACTGGGCACATAAAAATGTGCCGATCTAGGATTCTAGTTTTCTGGTAATCCTAACCAATTTCAAGCTGAAAGATTTAACCATAAACTCAACATGATTTATGAAGATTTTAGATCTATAAACCTCAGCAAGAACTCATCATATCAAGCCTGTAAAAATTTACCGATTATGGCTTAAGACCAAATTTTTAAAACCCTATCAAATGGCTTCCAAAAATCCTTAACTTTTAACTAAAACCTCAACATAATATTTAAGACTTATAGACAAAAGATCTCCGCAAGAATAGATCTCAAACTCATTTAACATAAAAATAATCATTTCAGATCTACATTTACATTTCTAGTTCTCCTAGCAAATGATCTCCAAAAATTCTAAACCTTAAACCACAACATCTACACAGTATTCTAAGATTTTAGAAATTTAAATCACGATTTTTGCACATTACAACTCAAGATACAAAATTTAGGCACATAATAGCATTAAATTTAGATCTCTCATTTCTGCCCCATTTTTCTTGATTTTTTATAAATACTTTATAAACTAGATCTAAGCCATTGGGGAGGGTCAATATGGATCTACGAAAATAGGAAGTGAAGGTGCCTTGTGAAGGCTTGGCGCGGGTGACTTGGGCGCGGATCTCAGCGGCTGACGTGCAACGAACGCAAGGGAGTTGTTGGATCTGGTGCAACCAGGGGCTGGTGCGCTCGACTGCAACTATTGGTGCACGTGGCGTGCTGGTGGGCTGTTACTTTGGGTGAAGGGTGCGGGCTCGGGAGCTTTCGGCTAGGGCTTGGGTGGTCGGATCTTGCTCCAATTTATATAAGGGTTATCTAAGGATAATTTTTTGACTTAGGACACTTCTTGACAGAGTTTCTTGCTTGATAATGTTGGAGGAAGAATGAAGACAAAGAGGTGGTAAAGCTTCTTTTATATGGCTCGGGTTAGGAGACAAAGTTGTTGGAAAAATTTAGATTTTTCTAAGTTTTGTCCCCTAGAGTACAAATTTAGTAGGTGGACATTAAATGCATGTTTGAATTTGAACCTTGAAGACTATGGTCAAAACCCTAATGTTTCAAGACTTGGTCCATATGATTATTTAAGGATTGGGCTCATTATGCTTCTAATGGATTGGACCATGATGCATGGATGTTGGGCTCAGAATTTAAGTGCTCAGCCATTGGGCCGAGCGGGTTGAAAAGTTGGGCCACGAGATGCAGGGCAGGAGCTGGGCGCGACACTTTGGGCGCATGAGCTGGGCCTTGAGCCGAGGTCTCGGCTCGATTAGGCTTTGACCCTTATTAAATATTTTTCTTGATTTCTCTGAGGCTCGATTAAGAATAAAAATGGCCAAGTTCATGGCCATCTCTCTAAGGAAAAATGAACCGGTACTTTAAGCTAAAATAATTCAATCTTCTGGAAATAAAAATCGAATGGATCCTCTTTGGCTTAGACTTAGGATTTATAAATCAATTTAATGCTAAAAATGAATATAACTTATAATAAATATAAACTTGCTATTTCTGGAACTAAAGTCGAGCTTATATAAATAAAAGGTTCGGGGCATTACAGTTCACGACAAAAGCCTCCAAGATACAACGACTTTCGATTTATGTACAGCGGTAACTCAAATACACAAATCTTCTGCAAACAGTAGTCAAGTTTCAGAACACTCAAGATAGAAATGAACACAAGATGATCGTAATATGATGCAAATAGCTCTTACAAATTTGATGTAGGTAACCATTTCACTTCATAGGAGTTTATAGATGTTCTAATACATCTATAGGGGTTCAAGGCATCAAACGACACTGATATAGCCACGGCTAGTACTGCCGGCTCGACCGGTAGTATCTGATATAGCATGTCGTACCTGACCGGTTTTTGTGGATATATATTGAAGAATACGCCTAAACATGGGCTAAGACACTTGATATGATAATATAGGCTGAGCCCAACCTAGGCCAGGCCCAACTTAGACTATAAGGTACACTCCCCCTATAAAAGGGAGAGGAGGTACTCATTTCCTCTCATTCTCTATTCATTCTCTAAGCACTCTCTCCCTACTCTCTCTCTCTACGCATATACTGACTTAAGCATCGGAGGCCCAAAGTCGGGCACCCCTCCCGGGGTCCCGAACTTTGGGTTCTTGCAGGTACGGGGCCGTCCGAGTCGAGGGAGCCCGGGTGACATCTTTGTCCCATCAGACACCTTTGATATTTTTTTTCCGAACTATAGAGACTTTTATAGATA